AAGAAATGTGTTAGTTTTAGCTAACAGTGCTATTGTATTCTGGAGTGTGATTTTAATTCTGTTCGATATAATTTAGAATGATTTGTAAATTAAAATGAAAATTTGAAATAATTAGGTCCATGTCTCCCTGAATTTTATTTTTTTCCTTTTCCAAACTTGTCTTGCTGTTTTAGTCTGGCTAAGTTGTAATGATACTTTACATGGATTATGTATGATTGGCAGAAATTTAGTTCTGACTTGCAAAAGCAAGCTTTTTATTTAATATTGAGACTTACCCTTGGGTTTGTCCATGTTGCAATACTTGTTCTATTTTTGGTACAATATCGATGTACATCAGTTTTCTTTGTAGCAAATGATTAGCTATATGACTGCAGAGAAATAACCTTATGTCTGTTTACCATTGTGGTGGGGATAGGGTGTTTTTCTTGGAGGATAATTGGATAATACATGTATTGGTTCTCAAGTTGTTTCTGCCTGGTTTCTTGCTGCTGCATCCCTTATCCTTGCTTCCTGCCGAACACCCAATTTATTTTACAATTCTGTTTACAAGTCTTGTAGGTTAAACAATCAAGTTTCTCCTTCTAGTCTTTTTAACCTGAATGAATGCATAAACAACGTAACAGAAATTTGTACTTTTTAATTCACCAGAACATCCATGTTTGCTGATGCTTTTCTGTGTCTTATTGTACATAACAGCTGCAAGGGCATTGGATGTAGTGAATTTTACTCCTCTCAATGGCAAGCCAATTAGAATAATGTATTCTAACAGGGATCCTACTGTTCGGGAAAATTGGGCAGGAAATATATTTATTAAGGTACTTCTGTTCTCCAATGTCCCTGTTGATATACTTAACTTTCTTTTGTCTTCTGATTGATTCTTATTCTTCATCTCTTTTTTCTGAAAGAATTTGGACAAGACAATTGACAACAAAGCTCTACATGAGACATTTTCTGCGTTTGGTAATATTCTATCTTGCAAGATAGCTACCGATAATTCTGGCCATTCCAAAGGATATGGGTTTGTGCAATTTGATAATGAGGAATCTGCCAAAAGCGCAATTGATAAGCTGAATGGTATGCTAATTAATGACAAAAAAGTTTTTGTTGGACCCTTCCTTCGTAAACAGGAAAGAGAGTCTTCCATAGGCAACACAAAGTTTAACAATGTCTATGTAAAGAATCTATCAGAATCAACAACTGATGAGGATTTAAAGAATGTATTTAGTGAATACGGACCGATAACTAGTGTCGTGGTTATGAAAGATGCAGATGGAAAGTCAAAATGTTTTGGATTTGTCAACTTTGAGAATCCTGATGATGCAGCTCGTTCTGTTGATTCTCTCAATGGAAAGAAATTTGACAATAAAGAATGGTTTGTTGGGAAGGCTCTGAAGAAATCTGAAAGAGAGATGGAACTGAAAGGGCAGTATGGGCAGACTTTAAAGGAAACAGCAGACAAGTTTACAGGACTTAATTTATATGTCAAAAACCTAGATGGTAGCATCAATGACGATAAGCTTAGAGAATTGTTCTCAGAGTTTGGTACAGTAACTTCATGCAAGGTTTGTAATAGTTCAATATTAGTCAATTCCATTTTTCAGTTTGCAGCATAGAAACAATTTCATGCTATATATTTTCCTTTTCTCTCCCTCTTTCCCTGGGGTTAACAGGTTATGCTTGACCCCAATGGTATAAGTAGAGGCTCAGGCTTTGTTGCCTTTTCAACTCCAGAAGATGCATCTCAAGCTGTAAGATATTTTTGTTATTTTTCCCTAGTTTTTAACAGATTTTCTCTTTTCCTTTCTATTGTTCCTGACATTTGTTCTGTGTTGTAGCTAATGGAGATGAATGGTAAAATGGTAGTTAGCAAACCACTTTATGTTGCAGTTGCTCAAAGGAAGGAAGATAGGAAAGCTAGGCTGCAGGTATTCATATCTTTAGTTTTTTTTTTTCTTATACTATTGGGTCAAGGTAACTTGCACTTATACAATAACAATGCAAATGCAAAAGAGCTTTTTGAGCTGATTACTCTTTGTTGTGTATTGGTTTTTCTGTTTTCTAAAGGAGCTGGACTTAAAATCAGCATGAATATATAATAATATTATGTTTTTTATGTACAGGAACAATATTGTTATATGCATCCTACTGCAATGGGACCTGTTGTTGTCCCTTGGATGCCCATGTATACTGCTGGCACACCACATTTTGACCAGCAACTATTCTATGGTCAAGGCCCTCATGCTATAATTCCACCCCAAGTAATTCAACTTGATTATGTTGATTGTTTCCTCAACTCTAGTTGATTTTTCCGTTTATAGGTGCATCTAAAAAATTTCCCTGCTTTTTCATTTGATGATAATTGGTTAAATATATCTGTTTATTGGAGGCATTTCAATTGTTTATTCTCTTTTTACTTGATGATCTTAAGCTATAACCTTGGGAGCTATTATTAGTAATTTCTTTGGTGTATTTGATATAATGTGCTTACTGTCTAGAGGGTTTGGAGCGTTAAAGCTTACTATATTCCTTTGTGAAGGTCCGAGTTTATGTTGCTTGAACTCTTCATTTTTCTTGATCTACTTGTGGTTGACACCTGCGTCTAATGCATAGCCAGACATTGACACGGGGATTTAACAGTAGAAAGACCCTCCTATATATTGAAAACCTTAAAAATTAAACTTACCCATATTGGACACAAGTCCACAGTTGATACTACCTCTAGAATCCAAGTAAAATGGGGTCTGGTTTTGGTTTTGACTTCTCTTATTTAGGCTGACAATTTATATTTAATCTCTCATTTTGTTTACTTGGATTCATAACTTATCCTGTCCTTTTATTGTGTGGACGTATGATTGATCTTTGTTACTCGATATTCAATCTCCAGCCATGCTGTCTTTTTGTGGTTCAGTTTTGAATGCTATAAGTTGATTAATTTTCTGTAATTTTATAACAGACTGGATTTGGGTATCAGCAGCAACTTATTCCTGGAATGATGCCAAATTTTTTCTTGCCAATGCTTCAGCCCGGGCAGCAGAATCAACACCAAGGAGGCAGACGATCCGGAGCTGGGCCAATGCAACAATAACCATTTCCCTTCATTCAGCCACATGTTGTTGGTTTTTTAATTATAAGAACTGCATATCAATTAATCTCACTTTTTTTGGTCTATATATTAGATTTCTCACTCGAACATCCGTGTATTGATGCTGATTGCAGATGCTTCCTACGGGATGTGCCTACCGTTATCCCCCTGGCCGCAACATGCCTGATGTTCCTGGACGCATGCTTGATGCAGGTGGAATGCCATTCCGAGATGCTGCATTTTCACAGCCCATGGCTACTGGGGCTCTCGCTTCTGCTCCCGCAAATGCAACACCTGTACAAAAGAGGACAGTAAGTGCTCATCTTATTGCGTAAAATGCATAGATAGGATTACCATTTTCTGTCATAATCAACTACCTGTGATAAATATCAATAGTAATGTTTCTTTCGCCAAATTTTGGGTGCAGTTGGGAGAAAATCTTTACCATCTTGTGGATCAGCTGGAGCATGATAATGCTCGAAAGGTGACGGGCATGCTTCTAGAGATGGACCAGACTGAGGTTTTACACTTGCTAGAATCTCCAGAAGCTTTGAAAGCAAAAGTTGCGGAGGCCATGGACGTTCTAAGGAAGATTGACTCTAAACCGCAGCAAGCCAATAGTGCAACTGATAGGCTAGCATCATTGTCTCTAAATGAGAACCTTGTCTCTTGAGTTTAATATATATGTTGTATACAATTTAACTATTTGATCCTTGAAATGAGTTTTTGTGGCTTTATATTTGTTTTCTTGGGATTTTGCTCAGCTGGACTTTATAGGTCTTGGATTTAGTTAAAATGACTATCCAGATCAGTTGGTAGAGCACAAAATTCTTAATCTTGAGGTCGTGGGATCGAGACCCACGGAGGGCATTTCATAATTCGGAGGTCTCTTACGGAAGCTGTTCTTAACCTGGTGTTGGAGGTAGTCTACTATCTTACCTCCCCTTATCCCATACATATGGGAAAAAGTGACAGCCATTTTCAATTTGCATGCTCAGTTTTTTTGTCAATTTCTATTCACACGTTTGGGTGTGGGTGCGAGATTTTTTTAATAGTATAGAATGATTATAAGGTAATATTTATTTAGAATTTTCTAAATCAATGGATAATGTAACGCATTCTGCTTCTTATATATATATATATATTGTTTTATTAAAGTATGACATGTAAAGCAGAAATCCTTAATTTATAATCTTTTGGACCAATAACCATCCAATTGGGCCCAAATTTTAATGAAATAAGATTAATTGATCTTTTAAAGGTCTACAACAAGCGCTTGGATAAAAATAGGGTTATTACATTTTCATTTGATAAAAAAGTTTAGTCATGCGCAAAACAATCAAGGTCATATTGAAATATTGTCAAAATTATAGCAAAAACTATAAAACTTTTTTAGAAAAAATAATCAAAATTAAAAAAATCTACAAAATGCTATATCAGTATAGAAGTAAAGATGTAATCCAATAGCTTATTGTATTTTGTTTAAACTGCGTCATAACTCATAAACTGGGAAGCCTCCTTTCGGCTGGAGTTGAATAGGCTCCTATGTCGCAACTATAACGATCGATGACATATGATATATAGTGAGCGTGTCTGAAAAAATATCTTATTAGATATTTGAAAAAAAATAAAACAATTATTTATTAATTAAATATTTGTAAAAAGAAGTTAATAAACCACCAACCAAAACCTAATGTTAGGCTCCGATTTATTTATATCTTTTAAGACACGACATTGAAGGAGCTGTCTGAACGTCTGGATAAGAATAAGATAAGATAAATAGATAAAGGGAAAAAATATCTTTATAGATAGAGTCAGCAATGGCGGGTAGATAAGATGCCATGAAAATGTGTGTCAGATATTCCCAACCGTACCCCAACACGCAATGATTCCTTAAAGTATGTGACTTTTCTGAAGTTTCCTCATTTAAGCTCCGTTGTCGTTTTTTTCAATATCGTTAACAAAAAGGAGTCTCAACCAATAGGAGCCTTGTGATCCCCCAATATCTCTCTTTTTGCCCTTTTATTTGGAAATGGTGGATATGGCTTCCCCACTGTTGCTTCTGGCTACCTCTTTGTTGCTTCTCTCCACGGTTCACCCAAAGGTATTTCCGATCTTTCTTTCGTTTTTATATGTGTGTGTAGATTTGATACTGTTTTTGGACTTCGTTAACTTGTGACAATATCGAAGAATCTACCAGACCCATTTTCAATCTTTTAGATCGAAACTCTTCAATTGTTGACTTATTTTGAGCTGATAGTGGTGAAAAGACGATTGTTCGTTTTATTAGTTTACTGTGTGTTCGATGAAAGGATATAAACTAGTTCATTATAAACTGAAAATGAAAATGGTTTTCTGAAGGGGAGAATTCAGGGGAGCTTATTGGCTTCTGGTAGTTTTACTTTTTTATGTATGGTTGCCGTCATTGGTATGCTTTGATTAACTTGGTTTTGGGTGGATCATATCTAACTTGGGAGGGGATTGGGAGCACAAGATTCGAATTGTGGCTTTGTTGGCTGACCAACTATTTGATTAGATTGGTATCGTTCAGTCCCCAAAGTTGGAATTCGAACTTAGTTGATACTGTTTTGTCAGCAGGTGTTTGGTGTGGAACAACTTTCAGAAGTCAAGCTCAACTCTCGGATCCTTCAGGTATTATCTCAATTTGAAGATTTCAAGGAAGGGAAAATGGTTCCAATTGTCAAATTGAGGGAGATTGACTCATTACTCTTACCATTATCATGTAGGATTCAATTGTAAAACAAGTCAATGAAAACTCCAAAGCTGGATGGAAAGCTGCCCTGAATCCTAGATTTTCTAATTACACCGTAAGTTGGCAACTTGTCGGACCTTTCTCCATTCTTTCTGGCTTATGTCGCTATTTCTGTATGCTTATTAGTTCTGAATTTGTATTCTGATTCATAGGTTGGTGAGTTTAAGCACCTTCTTGGAGTCAAACCAACACCTAAGAAAGAACTCCTGGGCGTTCCTGTTGTAACTCATGACAAATACTTGAGGTTGCCAACTACTTTTGATTCTAGAACAGCTTGGCCACAATGTGGTACAATTGGAAGAATTCTCGGTGAGTTTTGTGCTGGTTTATAAAATGTTGCGACTTTGAACAAATTGGATTGATGATGTTTTCTTCTTTATATGATGAACCAATTCTCGGATCGATTTCGATATTAAAGATCAGGTAAATCCATTTTCATTTCTCTCAATTTGAATATATTTTTCTTGTATAATTAAATTCTTAGCATGTTTAGCTGTGCTTATGTTTTAGGGTCACTGTGGTTCTTGCTGGGCTTTTGGTGCTGTTGAAGCACTATCTGATAGGTTCTGTATCCATTTTGGCATGGTAAATGAAACTCATTTTTTCTTTTTCTTTTTCCGAAAAAAGAGAATTTACAGTTCATGACATTAATTTTTACTTGCAAAATATTTCATTACAGAACATATCTCTGTCCGCTAATGATGTTGTTGCTTGCTGTGGCTTTCTATGCGGAGATGGTTGCGATGGAGGGTATCCGATCTCTGCATGGAGATACTTTGCGCGAAATGGTGTTGTCACTGAAGAGGTATTGATTTTTACAAGCATTAGACCTTCTGGACATCTAGCCTGATTTAGTACAAGCAATATTGCTTACCTTAATCTTATATTCTTCATCTTGCAGTGTGATCCGTACTTTGATGACATTGGTTGTTCTCACCCTGGTTGCGAGCCTTCATTTCCTACTCCTAAATGTGTGAAAAAGTGTGTTAAGAGAAACCTTCTCTGGACGCAATCAAAACACTACAGTGTCGGTGCGTATAGGATCAACTCAAGTCCTGCAGATATCATGGCAGAGATTTATAAGAACGGTCCGGTTGAGGTCTCCTTCACTGTTTATGAGGTAAAGAAAGAACTCAATGCTTTTCTAATTGAGTTTCCTGCTTCTCATGATGAGCAATTACGAAGTGATTTGATTTGCTTTGAAACTATTACTTATGCATGAATCCCATGCAAGAATTTCAAGAAAAATGAAGATGCCAAGCAAAACATAGTTTAATATCCTTAGCTTCTTCGTGATTTTCGCAGGATTTCGCTCACTACAAGTCGGGAGTTTACAAACATGTGACCGGAGGCATTATGGGAGGCCATGCAGTTAAGCTGATTGGATGGGGAACTTCTGATGACGGAGAAGATTATTGGGTATGTTTGAATGGCTTTTATCTTTGGCCTTATATCTTAAAATCTTATACTGATTCGAGTTAATATTTTGATATTTTACCTTTTCCTCCATTACAGCTTCTTGCAAACCAGTGGAATAGAGGCTGGGGTGATGTATGTATCCATTGAACTTTGTCTCCATTGAACTTTGTCTCCATATTCATTTAAAAACCATCTTTAAAATGCTTAAATATTGACTATTGTATTTCTCGGAACAGGATGGTTACTTCAAGATCATAAGGGGAGTAGACGAGTGTGGTATTGAATCCGATGTCGTAGCTGGTTTGCCGTCCACCAAAAATCTTGTTCGCGACGTTGCAGATACGGAAATCGTCGAAGATGCTTCATTCTAAGAGAATGCTCATCTAGACATCCCCTACCTAATGTAATGATATATCAGTGCATGACTGTTTACCTTTGTTTCCACTTGGGGGTTTCAAATGTTATGCTTCGCTTCGTAATATCAAGTATAATGTATTGTACCCACATGAATTGCGATATATTATCACCATGATTTAGCCTTACCATTAGAAATGGCTTGCTCTATTCCTTTTAGAAATAATTTTGATTTGATTTTTTCGATTTTAATAATTTAATCATTTATTCAATTTTTAGTATATAAAAAGCTAACCAATCAAATCAATGGAATGTACACCCTAACAAAAACTTAGGTTACCCTAAAATTATCCACATGTAAAAGTTAAACTGGATTTTAATTTTGTGAACAGATGAAGTAAGATTTTAAGGAAATTTTATTTTTATTTAGAATCGAGTTTATTTGATTAATCTATTACTATTATCTTCAATTTTCAATTACGGGCATGAGCTTCGATGCAAGCAAATCAAATCAAATAACAGTTGAAGATCTTGTTAATCTTCAACAATTGCAGCGTATATTCCAGCTGAGGATCAGACTTCTGGTAAAGTTTTCTTTTTCAAAATCAAAATGCCGCTAATCTTAAGTGCATTTGTTAATGCGAAATTCATGAACATTTTTGGATTTTGTTTGTTTAAAGTTATGCAAACTTTGTTTACAGATCTAATCTTTTACAAATTGCATTTCAGTTCATCGTCAAATTAGGATGTGCTGGTGCTTAGATTTATACATATGAAGAAAACAAAAGAATTTTGAATTTGAAATCTTGATTCCCCAAGCAATGCAAAAGTAGCGATTCATCAAATTTATAAACACAAAGAAAACAATTGTATTTTGGAACAGTTATCTTTAATAAAAGTTGTCAATGATAACTGTTCTAAAATGCGGTATTGTATGGCTTCATTGCTCGAATTTTATTTCAGAGGATTCCAAACTTCGTTGTCTCCGTTAACTTTTTCTTCCTAAAGCAAAATGTCTATTCGGAATTAAAAAAAAAAATTGTAAGACAATGTTTTTGAGATAATAGTTTTGGTTCAGTAAACAAACCGCATGCTATTTTTCTTGGTTTAGTTTTGGATTGATTGCTTGAATCGACATTGCAACTCATGGATGATTAAGATTATGCGATTTTTCTCATAGTTTTAGAGTTCCGTACTTTGTTCGGATTACTGGTGTGACTTAATTGAATTTGAGTAGTAGAATGGACTCAGATTCTGCTGATTCCTCATCTCAACCTCAAACTGAAGCTTCTGATGTTGAAACCTCTGCTGAAGTTGACACTGATGTTAAAAGCCCAGCTAGTACTAATGATATGAAGAGTCATTCAATGGCCAACATTGTGGAACCTCCTTTCAAAGCTTATGACAATGAACCTCCAAAGGCTGGTGATAATGCATCTACTGTCACTGTGAAAACAATTAACTCACCGGAACCCCAACCATCTGATTTACCCTCCACTGGCATATCTTCTTGGACAAGAATTTTGAATTTACCACAGCCTACAGCGCCACCTCAGGAATCTCAAGCTGGAAATGCAGGGTCTTCAGCTTTTGCACGACTCACCAGTGGCCTCGGATTGCAATCGATGACTCTACCCCCAGATAACCACGCAGAACATACCTCTGCAGCAACACAAACTGTTCTTGAATCATTTAAAAAGGGTATAGATGATTCATCTTTGACTGCAGTGAAGGCTGTGCAGGTCAAAGCTCGCCATATAGTTTCGCAAAACAAAAGAAGATACCAGGTATCCTAACTGTGGTATTCGAGGTATGTGTTATCTCTTTTAGCAAAAGAAATTCCTTATCTTTCAGATGTATAGATCTAATATTGCACTAGATTATTGTGAATTACATACTCAAAAGATCTTTAATGCATGTTATACAGGAGGGAGAGTTTGATTTGGATTTGACTTATTTCACTGAGAATATAATTTCTATGGGGTTTCCTGCTGGTGATCTAAGCTCGGGGCTTTTGGGATTCTTTGAGGTAAAAAAAGACTTATGTGGTTTGCACTTGAAATTTAGTGTCCAGGTTCAATTTTTGGTTTTATGGACTTAAAATTTGATGCAGGGATTTTATTGGAATAAAATGGAGGAAGTGATCAAGTTTTTTGAAACCCATCATAAGGTAGGATGTTGTTTGCAAAACAACAGACCCTTTTATCTGTTTATCGGATGGGTCTTGAACAAGGGGGAGGTCAGAGGTGCTCCCTGAATTAAACAAGGAAATGTTTTGAAGTGGGATTTTTAGAATCTTAATATTGAATCTGCAAATTATAAAGCCTAAACATTGTAAGAGAGAGAGAAAGAGAGAGAGAGAGAGAGTAGGGGTTCAACGTCAACTAAAATAATATGGGTGAATAGATGAGAAAAGGGGATAAAAATTGAGAAGATGCATATAATTTCAGTAAAAACTATATAGAACTATTTGGAAATATTTTCCATGTTGCAAGGAACATCATGAAAAAGTTGTTTTTGTCTATAATTGAAGAATGTATTGATGTGTCATTACTCATAGTATTTGTTACTATGTTCTTAAACGTGAATGGTCAGTGTTTGTCTAATTAAATCATAGTTCAAGAGTAAGTATAGTTGAGGCAAAGTTGCAAGACAAACTGCATTGGCTACAAAATCTTAGTGTTAGCGAAAAACAATTCAATAGTAATATCATTCTCCTTCCCTTCTTTATATTTGTCTATCTGCATATTAAAAAAACTTCGAAGTTTGTAACTTAGTTTTCTGTAGTTGCTCTATGTTGTCTGTGAGTAGATATGCCTTTGTCTTTGATTTCTGAATCATTTTGAAGTCCTCATTTCGTCAAGTATCTTATATCAACATTTTCTTTATACAGGGGAGATACAAAGTGTACAATATTTGTTCCGATAGGTTGTACGATGCATCACTATTCCAGGGAAAGGTTTATTCTCATCTCTATTTGACCACTAAATCTGAAATGTATTATGATGGTTTGTGCTTAGATCTAACATCGAACTTATTTACAGGTTGCAAGTTTCCCATTTGATGACCACAATTGCCCCCCACTTCATCTCATAAAATCCTTTTGTCAAAGTGCGTACTCATGGTTGAAAGAGGACATCGAAAATCTGGTGGTTGTTCGTTGTAAAGCTGGTATGGGAAGGACAGGTTTAATGATTTGCAGTCTTCTTTTATTCCTTAAGGTGGAATTTAATTAGCCCGTCTATATATCTATGGGATTTTTAAAGAGAATGAGTTTTTAGCTCCACTTTCGATTCATTTTATGATTGTATTATCACTTTTCTTTCTTCAGTTCTTTCCCACAGCTGATGAGGCAATTGGTTACTTCAACCAAAAAAAAGATGCATAGATGGGAAAGCTCTGGTTCTCCCTAGTCAGATTGTCAGTCATTACATTCTATGGAAAATTTTGATCATTTATTTTTGGCATCCTTTCTCATAGATAATCTTTCTCCTGTTTTGCTTAGAGATATGTCAAATACTTTGAATGTATCCTGACACGCTTCAATGGAGAAACCCGCCTGGACGTAGGTATGTCATTTGTTTAAACTGTGTTTTGTTTACCATTAATAATAATATACTGAAGGTTATTGTTTTATAGGTGCATCATTAGGGGCTTCCGGCTTCACAAGTGTCCTTATTGGATTAGGCCCTCCATTACCATCTCTGATCACAGTGGTACGCTTTGATTTTCATGTAGTCCTTCGTGGTCTTCGTCTAGATGGTATTATACTGTGGGAAATAGCTTATCTCAATATTTTCCCCATGGCAATGCCAGCATATACTGTTTTCTTGGAAGTTAAATAAAAGATAAACATTATTTTCCATATCTTGCAGTTTGGTAACAGCTGAAATTTTCTCATCTCAGGAACTCTCTTCTCCACTAGCAAGTAGCAAGCACCTGAAAACAAAGAATCTAATGGTGAAAATAATATTTTAATGTGTTATGATTTTGTTTTAGTGGTATTTGTGTGTGCTCTGCTAATGCGTGTGCAATTGCAGCCAGAAGATTTCTGGATTAAGGCACCTACGAAAGGGATAGTGAGTTTTGCTCTTCCCAGGGAGCCTGGTCTTACAGAGGTAGTGGGTGACTTCAAAATCCATTTTCATGACCACCAAGGCGATTTTTACTGGTCTGCAACGTTTCTCTTTTTTCATGAACTAGTTTTCCATGAATTTACTTTTTTTTGCTGATTTATAACACTTATTCTATATTACTTGGACTCGGGTGAGTATTGAATACGAGTATGTGTTTGGCTTAGGTATATGTTCAACCTTTTATATTTTTTTCCATATATATAAAGGGTCATATTGCCATAACCATGTCTGAATATGCCTCGAACTTTGGTTTCGTATACAGAAACTTAGAAAAATGAAGAGTTGGTTAAATTCAACAATGATAGAGAACAGAACGATGCTCAACGCCTCGGATCTCGATGGTTTCGATAAGGTAAAAACTTATAAAGAAGATAATGCCAGCTAGTATGTGAAAGGGGTCTCTTCTTCATTTCAGACATCTTGGTTCGTAGTGATTTGTTACCTTTGATCTGTAGGGAAATGTGCCATATCATGGATTCAATATTGAATTGGTAAATGTAGACTACGATGGCACACTAAAGACGAATCCTAAACCGGATTCTGCAAACCAAGGTACCGAGGGTAACTCTAGTTATGTTAAGGATGAAGTCGTCGAAGCCAATTCGAAACAAAGCAAAGCTTCAAGGATTGAAGACAGCAATGACATATTCTCAGACAGTGACGGAGAGGAATCGGGGGCTTCAATAAGTAAGCCAACTCAACCGGCTGCCGCATTCGGACCTGTAACGTCAAGCAATCCATCAAAGCCTGCAGCCGAGCAAATTGGAACATCAATGGTAGCTATAAAAAACCAAGAGCTTTTATCTAACAATAGTTCCAAAGACATTGCCACTAATGGAGGACCATCAAGTGGACTTGAGCTCCCCAGTGTGGAGTTGATGGGAGCAAGTGATATCAAAGCCATGGCGGCCGAAGCTTCGGTCTTCAGTTTAGATGATGAAGAAGTTTACAAAAGCGAGTGAATTACTGCAACATTATTATCGTTTTCATAACTTTGATAATGAACAATTTTAA